ATTTCATTTCATTTCATTAAGACCCGCAGGTTAATTAGCATTTTACGAAATAAATTACGTAAAAATCATAATATTGCAAGGAAAAATTAACTTGCACATAATATCCTACCTTGATTGATAAGGGGAATTGTTGGAAGAAAAATTAGCAATTCACGTTCCAAATTTTTCTCCTAGGTATTGCTGCTATCACTGTATGTGTATCTAAATTTTCTAGGGTTAATAATCAGAATCTTGTACTGTATTTAAGGTTGAAATGGAATATTGAAGGCCTAAAATCTATCAAAAAGCCGTGTGTTGAAGCGTGTTTCACCCCCATAAGACGTCTGAATCCCGAAATCCATTCAATCAAGACTCAATTCCACTCGTTTTTCCGTGAAATGTGTCTCAATTCCATACAATTAACAGATATTTCTAATCATCACATGGTAGTCTAACCATGAATTCCTAAAATCATGGTAATTAAATAATATTAAAATACGTCTAGTTGACATCAATCTCCAAAATCAAGGCAAATAAATAATATTAAAATACAATTAGTTGACATCAATGTCCAAGATTAGTTGACATCAATCTCCAAAGTCAAGGCAAATAAATAATATTAAAATACAACTAGTTGACATCACTCACCAAAATCAAGGCAAATCTAGTACTAAAACCTGCCCCCATTTTTTAACAATTTCTACATGTGAAAAAAATGATAAATCCAGGCAGTATCATTTTCATTCTAAGATTTAATTGAATTTGAAAGCTAGTTTTTATCAACTTCTTCGAACATCAATTTCTTGATGTTGACTTATCCAAATCTACTTTTTCTCGAGCTCAAAATGCATAGTTAATTACGAATTATCGAACGAGTAAAATATTGATATATTTATACACACTCTATTAAAATTAAATTATTTGACCCAAAAGAATATAATTTAAAACATATTTAATTTTAGTCCTCAATTTTTATTATTATTATTTTTGAAATATAAAATTATAACATATAAAACAAATTCATTTTCATTCTAATTTTTTTTTCAGGGCGTTACAAGATCTATGAATTTTTATTCTAAAAGCCTTCTTTGACTTGAATGAATTGTGTGTATTGAATCCCCAAAAGCCTTAAATGTTTTACTTCCGGGGCTGGAACAGATTGAGTTCAAAATTCAGGTCTTGGTACTGTCCAATTAGTTGTGGTAGAGACTTTTATACGCTACTCCAAGGATTCGCCAAGCCCACCTTGTGGCAAGTTTTATAATTTAGGCAATGGAGAAAGAGCCAGCTAGTTGGTTTGTTTATCCATGATTGGATAAATATCGATTCGATCCCTTTTTCTTTCAGTTTTCCGTTCTGCTTTAAACGATTCCCGTGAGTGAGTTTATAGGAATAATTTTGCTAGAGACAACAATGGGTTAAAAACCCTTATTAACTATCTACAATTAATGACAATGAGGTGATCGTTCATCAGCATTGGACTTTTCTGAAATGGAATCCATACACGACCAATGGGAAATGAGGGAATTCCTTGCAGGCTAGCTTACCTTTGTTTTATAATTTTCAAATTTCTTTTTAACGTCTAGCAAGTATCAAATAAGAGCTTCTATAAATTAGCAACCTCAGAGTTTCTATTATCATTACCGTTATCTATCACGAGCAATAGATTTATATGACTAAGGACGAGGAATCAATTCCATGGAAATTTCATCAAGAGATATAAATCAAGTCGAGCCTACTTCACATTTTTCGGATTGTGTTCAGACTATCTAAAGACGAGCCGGCCTGTTTCTTGCTGTTAATTGAATCATCTCATTGGGTTGCCA